CAGGTTGGCAATCTCTCGACTGTGTATTTTAGCGCTCGAGTCCATCGTTTATATATTCATGTTACCTTGGAGAGCATTTTCCCTGCTTTTTGTTTGGCTTTCCCTCAAATTGTGCGTGCTAAAAACAGTTGACATATCCATGGGCGAGGCTCTGCGTCTGGGGGCTTTTACCGTGGCAGTTTACCTGGGCTACCTGCTCGGCAACTCACTTGGCGCTCCTTAAAATGTCAAATGTTCTCGGGGACCATCCATCCGTTCCGTTCGTCCGTGCCCACATATGATGTTCCCATACCATTCGAGCTGCTAATGGAAATTGCGCTTGGCGAAGGCGTTTGGCGACGACTTCCTGTCGTGCTCTGCCTGGAGAAATTTATGCTAAAAGGTTGCCAGTTTGACTTGGGGACGAGCTGCGCTTTCTCCCCGAGATGTCTAGCAATTTAAGGCCTCCGATTCCCCGGGTTATCTATTAGAATATGAGGTATTTCTGTGGCGACGGTCGCAGCAAACACGAATATTTCCCTCATTCATATTCCGAAGCAATTTGCCAGTACAGCAATTCCGGCCCATCCTACGGAGTTGTCCGTCCGGATTCGAATCCCCTGTCCGTTGTCCGTTGTCCGTGAGTGCGTGCGGCGCCCGGAAAAGCATTTTGTATAAATGCGGCGCAAACAAGCTCGAGACTAATTACGACAGGGAGATAACAGCAAGCAGAGCTAGCCACGCCAGGATTCGGGATCCAGGATAATAATCTAAGCAAATTTATCAACACGGACACATATGGAAAAAATATGAAGGGAAAAAACGGCAGACAGCAAGGGATACGCACCAAACGAGCGAGTGAAAAATTATGCGAGGCGGACTCCAACAAAAGACAGATGGGGAAACAGGGCAAATGGGAGCATCAAGGGTTCTACAATTGTGAAGGTTTCCGTAAAGGGTTGCTAGATTGTAGGGTTGCTAGATTGGATTTAGAAATTTCTCGAAAAACATTAAGTATTTTTGCCAAAAAGAAAATAAAGAGTGTTCTTATAACAATAACGGAAATGCCTATGCTAAGACTCTACATTATTTCGTATGTTAAAACCTTGTTAAGATTTAGAAGGTCTAAGAAAATATATCAGAGATTGTTTCACAAAACACCTTTGTGATTTTCGTGTGGCTTGTTTAATTATTATTTTTAAATATTTATAAAAGTCCTACAAAATTTATTTCTGATGATCATAAAATGTAACATTTAATTTTTAAGGCGTTCCCTAACTAAATGGAACCTGACCAGGAAAATGTTTAAATAAAAAATATAAATCATAAATTAGTACTGCTGGTTCTCAATTATGACTATTCCCATTTTAAAAATCCAGCACTGATGTAGAACGACGTATTAAGTTAAAGCCTTAAAAAAGCCAACCGAATGCTGCTGGGTAAGTAAAACATACAAATACAGCAGCTAAGATAGGGCAAGAAAGATGGTCCTAGCCTGGCCTATTCAGACAAAGGGATATTTGGGTGAGCCGCCTACTTTCCCAGGAACTGGAAAATCTGATTTCCTTTTTGGCAAAGATCATTAGGGGAACACCGCCTACAAACAAATCCCGTGCAAATATTTGCCAAGGCATTATGGCCAAATCTGCGCTGGCGAAGATGTTGTAACATGGCCTAATCCCAGATCGTAATGTACTAAGCCGGCTCGGGATTAAATTGGCTTAAATGCGACCTAGAGCACAAAGGTGAAACGTATACAGTTCATCAAGGATTGATCCTTCGCATAATTTTGCGCAGTCTGTGGCTGGCGGGAAACCTCAAGCCCGGAAAATTCGAGGCGGGAAACGGGAAACTTTCCTCCGGCGGAGGCGACCATCAATCATCGTCAGGCTCCGGGGCACATTAGCATTTATGAACTTTTGGCCGAGTTGATTTTTCACGACTTGCCAAGGGCTGTGACTTGGGCCAGGATGGGTTGACTTTAATAGGATTCCCCATAATTTCATGCGCTTGTGCATATTTGGCAGTCAATTAATGTCAAACTAGTTTCAACTCTCGCTGGCAATCGATCAAAATTTCAATGCAGCCACCTCAGGGTTGATGCAATGAAATAATTTGACAATATTCATATGACCCTAATGTTTATATGAGCGATGGCAATGGAGTAACCTTATTAAAAGGTAAAAAGGTTAGGGAAAGGCACGTTTGAGGTGTTGATTTGGTCCGATAAAGAAGTTGTGGGAACACCTTTTGCCATCGGTTAATGATTCAGTTTTTACTACAGTCGCCATCAATTTGATATGGTAGTTAGGATAAAAAGGTTCAGCCATATGAAACTAATCTAAAAAGTCATGGGAGCACTTCTTAAGATACTGCCCCTGAGAAGTTCTTAATTAAGATTTGAGTTTTGATAAGAACGGTAAAATCTAAGTCTTAATGTTCCGGAAAACTTTGATCGTTACTTCAGAAGCACAAATAGATCAGTCAGTTATGTTCAGACTCATTTGTAAAATTAGAAGAAAATTAAAGCCAAATTTGAAACTCATTAAACTCCTTACTCCTAAAAATATTAATGTTAGCTATAAAAAAAAATATTAAAATACATTCGGATTAGCAATAAAGCAAATCTGGCACATAATCCCATTGTGCCATATCAATTTTACCCCAATCCCTATTTTGCAATTTAAAAGCCCCTCAAAAAGCATTTTATTAAGTTAATTAAAACAAACCGAAAATCCCCAACCAGTCAAATGCAATTTTGCAACTTCGTTTTCCAAATTTTTTTAAGCTTTGGCATTATTAAAAGCGGAATTTTAAATGCCATTTCGCATTATGAATTTAATCCAATTGTTGATGGCGGAAAAAAGAAAAGGCAACAAAAACAGACAAACAACAATCGAATGATACGGTAATTAGTTAATTTATAAATATCATATAAACTGCTCATTTATGAATTCAATTAATGTTCGCAGACGCGTGACCGAAGTGGATTAAACTCTAATTTAATAACTCAGCTGGCGGGTGGAAAAAAAAGCAGAGATACAAAGTGTTTGAAAGTTATTAAATGGAAACCTCAAAATGGGTGACAGTTGTTGCACAATGATTTACACCGCAGAACTGTCAACGGTTACGGATACCAAATAAGATTTGAGCAGCCTGCTGACACATGGCGGGGGATCGGTTGTCCGCAATCCACGAATCCTGCCCACAGATGCGTTTACAACTCACCAGAACGCCCTCGGAAAATCCTCATATGTCATGGATAGATGACTACTACTTAAGAGAGCTGTCAATTGCCTAGGATAATGTTTGGCTCTAGCCGTAATTTATGCATATTCCGAACTCAAGTGGATCCGCTTCTCGGGATACGTCTGTGCACATCTGTGTAACCCTAGATCGCACAACGCCCCCAACTCCCGAGGCTCCGACTCCTCCTCCGATATGTATCCCTTGTGGTTAGGCCCATGCCAAATCCAGGGATAATCACATTGTTGACTGCAACTGCAACTAATTACAAATCAATTTGAACCAGCCCCCAAAGGCAAATGAATTCCGGGGAGAGTTATCCAGGGCTAACCGCAGCACAGGAAGCGGGATCGCGGGGAGAACCTCCTTAACACCTGCCCGCACCCCATTAAAATGTTATATGGCCAGTGTCAATGCCAAGTTTAAAAACAGAACACAAAAATAAATTGACATCTCAGGCTGGCCGTAAATCAAAGGAGACAACTTAGACATCCACCCATGTTGAAGTGACGAAATGAGCAGCAGAAGAGTCATAAAAACACTGGAATCTCGAGGAGATGGATCACATTTGATGGTTGTCTTTTACGATCCCACAATTGAGATATAGGAGAAGATGGTGATAGGTCTGTGGAGGGTATATAAGATATGTTTAAGGAGGAAACGATGGATCACAAAAGATGGATGTTATTCTTAGTCATTTGGGATAGGAGCTTAGGATATGATAAGTCACCGATATGATGAGCAACATTTACATATGATCCTTTAAGTCTAATAAAAAACTGTCCCAAAAGAGATGGGAAAAAATAGATAAGTGTGTAAAAACAGAAAATATATTTTCAGAGTCGAATTCCTTTGGATCTTAGCCAGCAAAACTAAATAAATAATTGGATTGCTAATAAAAGAATCGTGTTTATACAAACAATTAAAGATCTGCTGGGCAAATATATTTTTGGGATCCGTACTACCCCGATCAGGATTCTTTTTGTGCCCAAACTCTTCACTCTTTCCACACATCGTCTAAGCTTATTAGTACTCAAGTTTCTGTGTGTTTTTCATAAACCTTTCTCAAACTGTGGCGTACATAAGCACTTCAGGTTCGATGCCTGGCCATTGTTCGCGGATCTCGAGAAGAACAGAGGAATCATTTGTCTTCTAATTATGATTTCAATGGCTTGGCAAAATCAAAGAAGGCGTAATTCGCTCTCACCATCGCCAGGACTCGTTCGGGGCTCCTTTAAGGCGGCAAATCGAATCAAAGAACTAGAAACAAACAAACAAACAAAAAACACTCAGAACAACGGAAAAGGAGACTCCTCTATGGCATTGTTGACAGGCCGCCGAAAAGAAGGAGACCGCAAAACACACTCAGACAAAGGATGAGGAGCCGGGGCGACTCCATTCGCACAAAAGAAGCGGAAAAAGCGATCAAAGAGCTCGCAAACATAAAGCAGGGGCATCATCACATGTCCGACGTGAGGTAAACCCATCTGAAAAACCCCTAAGCAAGCCAAAATCCCAACCAGATCCATGCGGCCGGCTTAGGACTCCTTTTTTTTGGCCTCATCTGCTGCGTTGCCACCACATTGCGTCGTCGTCTTTAAGCTCTTTAAGCGAAATTAAAACATTTCACCCCTCAGCAGGAGGTGACTTGAACATTCCGAGGCACTCAAATCTGTTCAAGTGAGAATAATATAACCTTGCCTTAGGTATATAATTTATGGTTTATATTTGTTAATTGCAGATTTTTTATACAAAATTATTTTTAAAAAGATATAAATATGTTTAAAGACATGTGGGGTCTTCAAAATAATGGAGGTTTAATATTAGATCAAATTTTTCGTCCGCATGTTAAACCAAATGTAGGTTTTAAACTATACATTTTAGTTTGAAGCTCTGACAAGAAAACGACCTTATAAAATATAAATAAATAGTTATTCAAAAGATTTCCTTTAAAGAAATTTAAATCTTTAACAATTTGTTATTAATGTTGGTATCAACGATTTATACTACATTTTGTTAGCTAATGAAATTTTAATATTTTCTTGAATAAGGAAGTAAATACCAATAGTAAAAGTTAAATTAAGACAATTATGCACAAATGACCAAAGACCGCCTTTCTCTGTGTTTGGTTCTAATTAAAAATTTAAAAATTGTCGCCTCCCCAGTTATTCAGAACACAATGCTTATCAGGTCCAGAGCACTATGTTCGCAGTGGTCCACGTAATCGGAGCAACCCAGGCCACGCGTGCCCGCATCGGAGGCCTCGTAAAGTCCATCCACGTGCTGCAGTTCCCGCTCCGCGGCACTCGTCGTTGGCCTACGAGGAAATGGGGGGAAAGGATTCCATAATTAGTGGCGACCCCTTAAAAGAACCGAGCTAGGGTAACCCACATGAATAGAATCTGAAACAGGCTGCCCACCAGACCGTTTTGGGCATCCAGGGGCGATTCGCTGACCTCGCAGATGGTTCGCAGCAAGCAGGCAGAGCCATTAAATCCATAGTGGGTCAGAAAGTTTATAATACTGCGGTAGAAGTCGTGGCGCCTGAAAGGTGGTGGAGATCCCACCGAACGACGTCTCACCTCGTTGTCCTCTTCATTTAAAAACTCTCCTCCATCTTGGCGGGCATTAATCGGCGTGACATTGCCTCCAACGCCCATGAAGTGATCATCCAGATCCCACTAAAAACGAGGTACATAAATATAAATAAAATTTCTTATTATTAAACTTAATTATTTAATAAAGATTTAAAACTCGAACTTACCCTATCGATCCACTGATTGTAGGAATCATTGGATGGCAGTGCATAGTTGGACTCAAAGTTGAAGGCCATATACACATTTTTGGGCCCCAGATCCAAAGGAATAGCGACAGCAGCCAGCAACTAATAAAAAATATCATAGATAGTTCAGTTCTTAGCTAAGATGTTTTCTTACAATACTCACACCAAAGGATCCCTGACGAGGAAACACTAGAAAACAGTTTACCAAGTGGAGTCCCAAAACCAAGACCACACCCAAAGAAAACTCCCAGTAAAAGGCAACCATCTTAACCCGAGCTTTGAGCCAACTAAATGCAATTTGCAAAGATTGCAGGTTGCACAAACGATGGGCGTCAGAATTGGCAGCTCCACTAATAAATGGGTGAGAAGTGGCTTACGGTACTGGTAAAGAAACCGGAATATGCAAGATTTACACAGTTACCACTTGACCCCGTCTCCATCCGATCTCCGTTGTCTTTACCATAAGGTGCTAATTGCTAGAATGTGTAACATTCTCGGCCGAGAAAGTCTTCTTGGCTCGATTGATGGAGTCGTTTTTATTGAGAAATCAAAATTAAAAATTCGTGAGCTTGAAAAAGAACACCCAGAACATGGATTAGTATCTTAAGGCCAGAGCTGGCATTAACACGCACTGAGATTGGCTCATGCGTAGAGGAAAATAAAAACAGAGAAATGCAATTTAGTATAGACATCATATGGGCCAGTTGCCTGATATACCAGGTGGCGGCTTCCCTGGGCAGTCTCTCCAAGCATCAGAGGAGTAAGAGAGCTCCCATTCCCTGGCTTATATACCCCACCACATCTCCCACTCGTGTTATGGTAACAGAAATGGATTTCCTGAGCTGAACAACTATTACTAATGAATTACTTTCGTTTAACAGTTTATTGGTGGTATAGGTATTCCGCTGGAGGATCTTAACTACGAAGCTGTAACCACCGGATATGTCTTAAAGGTGGAGTACTGGCTGCCCACCACTCCGGATGACCTGAGAACTCCCACGGCTCTGCCCCTCACACAAGTGGCCACGCCTGGAGTCACAGGAGCCAGAAAGCAGAGGAAACCCATGTTCGAGAACTTTCTGGTGGGAGTGGATGAGCTGGGCAAGAACACCAGGAAGCTGCTGACCAGGACCAATAAGGTGCTGAGTAGCTATCGCTGGACAGTCTACAAGGGACTGGAGGGATTGGCCGATCGATTGGGCTACCAGGGAAGGATCTGTGTGCTGAAAAGCATCTGCGAGGCGGCCGAGGAGCCTTTCCATTACACTAATGGGCTATTTGCTGATCTCTTGCACATACTACTCACGTAAGTGTGAAAAGGAAGATCCCTTAAAGTACTAAACCATCTAATAATAACCCCTATTTACAGACCCTCCTCATCAGTGGACAAATTGTCAGAGCACGCGGATAACGAGTATTATTATGCAGAAAAGGTGGGTCAATCGGGCGCTGGCTGTGATCGCGTCTTTAAGGAGTGTCGACTTAGTCTCCTCCAACACTTCAGTGAACTCCATCACAACCTGGACAAGATCTTATTTTGAGGCAATAAAGGAAGACGTTAATGATACCAAAACTTTTGCTCAGTGTTCTTTGTGGTTAATGGGACTTGGTGAAAGAAACAAAAGACTGGTCTGCATTGTGGAGTGCTAATTAAGAGAACGTGAACTTTTAGTGGAGCCCGAAAGCTCAAAGTGTCGTTTAAAATAATGGTCCCAATTCTGATCGTGACTCAAGTGTGCCATATTGCCTGCGGCTAATGACACTTTCGGTTTCCTAATTCTAGAAAGTAAGAAGCTTGAATCCATTGGATATTAAAGTGAAATCATTTTCGCTTTTGCGAATTTAGTCAACGGTCTTTCTTCGAGCGGCGAGGTTTTTGTGCATTTACAAATATTTTTTAAGGACTCTACAATGAACGTTGGATTATCAGTGCTTTTGGTCATAAGTTTTCTACATGTTTTTCCAACACAAGCTTTTAATAATACTCAGAACTTTCATTTTGAGGGTGATATTTTAGTGCGAAAGGCCCGATGGCTGCCCTTGATTTATCCTAGATCCAATCCTACTCGATTACAGGTAAGTAATCTTTAGGATCAGTAACTTCCTTAAAATATTGTTAATTTGTTATGGATAAAAAATATTTCTCAGATGATCGGTGGCTTTGGTATACCTGCAGAGGATCTTAAGCTAGAATCTGTGATTACGGGTTATGTTCTCAAGGCCCAGTATTACTTGCCCTATTCCGTCAAGCAATTGAGGACCAAGAATGTGCATGAAATCTCTGAAGGAAGGCTTTTGGGGAATGCCACAATCTTCGATAGGGTCATGCAGATGTCTGAACAAAAACTTGGTCTGGATCCCGATATCCTTCAGCAGGATCTCCAGGCCCTGGGCAGTTATCGCTGGTCGGTCTACGAGGCTTTCACTGCCCTGGCCATCCGCATGAAGCTCAATGGCAGAGTCTGCGTCCTGAAGAGCATCTGCGAAAGTGCCGCTGCTCCCTTCGACGATCGAAATGGTTTGCTGGGCGAAGTGCTTCATATCCTGCTCACGTGAGTTTATGATCGTGGGATCGACTTTATGTTGAACCTCTCCATCGCCCTTTTAGGCCCTCCAGTTCGGTGGATCCCCTGTCGGAGCACTCGGACAACGATTACCTACAGGCTGAACGACTGGGAGCAGCTGGTGGCGATTGTGATCAGATGTATCCGAGGTGTCCCAAGAGCCTGCTGGAGCACTTTAGTGATGTTCATCATCTGGGCAGCGAGTTCCTCAGCATGCTGGGTTGAGATAGAATATAACTACATCAAATAATTTGTGATATTTATATTAAATAGTTGTTTGTAAAATGTTTTTCAGTTTTAAAGTGCTTTTGGTACCTTAATTTCTTGAAATATAGGGGAGAGGAACGTGTGTATTACTTAAAAAAAGAATGTTGTTTTAATATGATTTAATATTATAAGATTTATTGATTGAATAGTTCATGATGCTAATATAATTCTTTGAAATAATATATTTTTTCTTTATATATATTTTCTATAAGATCTTTAGGGATATATCTGGCCAACATTTTCCTCGGGAAAATTAGAAGATTGCCGACTTCCGAAAAGGGCTTCTCGACTCTGAGAACAGTCGAGGCCCTCGGCACTTCCTCTTCGGTTGATTTCAACGGCAAGGGCGTGAAATTTATGCAAATATCCACATAATAACTCTTTTTGTTCTCCTGTCCTGGCCTCATCATCATCTTTGGATATTTCTCCACGCTCGGGTGGTCTTTTCTCCTCTCCAGCTATCAAAGCGTACGCATCTCCCTATCTCTTTAGGGCCTATTGTCTTCTAATTCAATAATTACAGCCCGAGCTTTGGCTACCGGGGAATGTTTTGGGACTGAGACCCACCACCGTCTTGGGATCCGTACTACCTGGGTACAAATAGGCGTTTAAATGCAAATGTCTGCGCTGTAATTAATACGCATAATACGCGTATTATGCTAATGCCAATGTCATAATGACTCGAGGAAACCCGAAAAGAAAGACGAAAATATGCATTTCACACTCGGTCTGGGGATTTGGGCTCAGTCATATATTCATCACTGGCGGACTGCATAGTTAATGCCCTTACGTACTAATTAGCTTTGACAAAATACACAACAGAAAACAAAGCTACTAAAAATTAGTAGCCAAGGCATTCGGGGAGGGGACTTTCTCTAATGAAGCCCCAGTTCCCAGACGAAGGCAGAGGCACTTGTCTGCGATGACAAAGTTCCGATAAGAGCTGGAATATATTTTGACAGGAGTCAGCAGTCGTCTGGGTCCAGAGTTACGTAGATCGAGATCAAGGGGGATCCTAAACATAAACTAGAGGCGAGATGCACCTTTCACAATTTTCATGTTGTGATTACCTTTAACCCCTTTACGGTCTACAGATCCCCAGTTCTTTTTTTTGGTACGTTGGACGGGGGAAGGGCAATAATTTTCATTTTCATTGCCTTTCTTTGGAAACAATTTGTAGGAACATGCAACTTAACGAAGTAATCAGAGGCCAACTCGGGGGAGATGGGGGCCAGATGCTTATCCGATGGCAGAGAGCCAGGCAGCCAGCCATCCAGCCAGCGACAACTATTTTATGGCCTTATGTGAGTGGAGGATGCTGGGGCACTCGGTCGCTTTATATGGCTGGGATTGCTATTTTTGGTAACCCTTTTGCTGCCTCCGGGCACAAAAGTGGGTTACAGTCAGTCCCCCGGTCTGGAATTTATGCTGCGTAATAATTCTTGGCCCACAACTAAGTTGGTAAAAACAATGTAACAAATTGTTGTGCTCGTACCTGGAGGAGCTGCGTATGCAAATTCAACGACTGGAAATGCCAGCTATGTCGGGGTTGCCACAAATGGGGTGGACACTGGTGACCCCGACCCCGTGACCACCGACCACTAACTAACCCACTGCCACCCATTAATTTCCCATCAACGGGTTTTTACGGGGCTTTATCTCTCAATTCGAAATGACTTTCGATGGCATTTCCACTTGATCTATATCGCTACTCGAGTTTAACGGCCACAAAGTCCCCCCTGAGGGACCCATAAAATTACGTAGATCCTATCGGAGATTTCGTATATTTCATGCTAATTAAAGCTCCCAGATATTTGTTTAGCGATAAACAATAATTAATTGTGCTTATTTCTTTTTCTGTTCTCCACCTGCTTCCTCCCATTCAAAGTTCCACTGATTGAGTTGTATCTATGTGGAATCAGTTTCAGTTGGTTTGGGGCGCAATAAACCAAATCAAACCGTGGGATGGAGCCCTTTGGCCACTCAACTCCCCCACCGCCGCCATGACGTATGCACATTGTCATCATAACTCTGGCCATTGTCTCTGATTCCGACTCCCAGATAGATGTGTATTTCTTCTTCGCCTCGCATAATGCCGTCTGGGGGACGAGTCTGTTTTTGCGAGGGCGTGTGTGTGAACTGCAGTTTATTATTTAAACAACGTGACTAAATTTACGTAGTGCCAAAGGAGAGCGAGACTCTGGGAGGGAAATACACCCGCAGGTGGTAAAACAATAATAGTAAATGTTTGCACAATGGAACCCAGCCATATAGGGGAAATAATAAGCTAAATAATGGATGCCTAAAATTTAATTTTGGGCCAGCGAAATTGGTGGGGTTACAAATAATATTATGGAAATAATGGGCAGCGAAATTAGTGGGATTAAAAATAATATTTGGGAAATCATGATCATGATGGATCTCATGGGATCTGAAATATATTTTTTTAGGGTGTCGAGACTTAAGAGAACTTGTTTAACTCTTCAATAATGCCTTACAAAGGAGTTTATACATACATTTTTAACAATTGATCTTACATTTTATTCAATTGCTACGTACAATAAGATGGTTATTTGAAGTTTTAGGAAGAGTTTTCAAACATTTTTAAAATCCGTGTTTTAGATTCATAAAATCTATTATATTAAATGAACTCGGACAAGTTACAGAGCAGGTTTTGTATAGTATTATAAAAACAAAATACGGCAGTATTTAACGCATGTAGTGGTAATTGTACTACTATAATATTACTAACTTCTGGTAGGAAGTCAAAATTATATGTTTTGCCCCACTGTGCATAACTGCGGCTTGGCATATGCAAAGTGAGCGTGGCTTTGGCCCCAGACAATTTTCGCATGATAAATCGTTAAAGGAGTATGAAAAAAACCCGCGAATTGTAACTGAAATAACATACAAAAAGCGAACGGGGGGCAAAAGTGCGATGAAGGAGAGAAGATAGCAAGGGGCCGAACTGGTAGGGTCGCACCTGACCCCTAACCCCCGCCCCTGTCTTTTGTTTATGCAAAAAGCTTCGCGGAATTGGCGCTACGTACGTGCCAAAGCATTTCATGGTCTGGCAACTTAATTCACCAGGATGCCCCCCTCGCAACCATAACCATATGCTAGGTGCCCCCCTTCAGTACGCCACCCATGCTCCAGTTCCATGCGGGTTCCATTTCCATTCATCTTCTGTTTGCCGGTGTCTGTGCTAGTGTTTGTTTTCCGCGGTACCCAACCTCCATCCTCAGCTTTTCTCTGGCGCTCACGTGTAAATTTTCTCAAATAAATCATTAAAAGCTGCGCAGCAGCCGCAGCACATTGACATTGTCAGAAGCTTTGCACCCACTCAGGGGACAAGGCCCCTTTGGAGCCCCTTTTTGAAGACCCTGTCTTCCTATCTTCCGGCCTCCATATTTCGGAAGGCCGCCCTTTTGATAGCAATCAACGGGGGAGAGCTCATTGTGAGTGCTCAAGTCCCCGACTCATCCTCACCCGAAGCTCAGGTGCATCTATTCATAGATCCTTTGGATTCCTTCATAAAGCGCCGTGCCATTGCACTCACCTTTTATCAACGGGTGGGTGTGTGTGAAGAGGTTAGTTAGTGGCACTTTAGCGCTAAAGTTTATACATAAATTTGTCATTGGCATTCAGTTGCCTCGCATCTCTTCCATCTGGCCCCTACATCATGGGTGCACTTTCCTGCACAGAGGGAAAAATCTAAGCCAGATGCGAACAATGTCAGCAAGAGGTCAACTTAAATATAATATGCACTATTTTTTTATAATGAGCAAGCATTAGTTTGATTTTTCCTATATGAAATCAAATATTTCCATAAAAAGGAAGTCGAAAAGATGATCAATAAAGTATTATGTAAAATTAGATCTTAAAAAGATTTGACTTATGTATAATCTGCTAAATATACAAAAGCACTAGGTACGTAGGAATAATATTACATACTTTATTATAATACGTGATTGATAAAAATGTATTTAAATTTAAAAAAAATTTCTTGCACATCTATATAGGGCTTTCTCCTTGTGTACACCTTGGGCAAACATATGTCTGGGCCTTTCTTCGTGCAGCTTTTCATGGCTATGCATTCAGGTTGTGTTTTCCTTTGATATTACTTTAGACTTCCTTTTTGTGGTGGCGCCTTTTAATTAAATCGAAAGACTTCCTTGGAAAACCCTGTGCACCCGTGCTGCCACCTTAACAACTCATTTTTCATGCGCGGTGCCACCCTTGTTCGCATAATAATTTACAAGAAATCTGATATTGTCTTATTAAGAGCGGAACTCAGCACAGGCGCCATATGGCGTCAGATGCTTGGCAAATTGAGCGATCGTCGATGACTTGGCACCTTCCCAAAAATCCAAAAACCGCATCGCGACATGAACATAAATAAATAATCGAAATGGAAAAGCGTGGCGAATGGCCCACAGCTGTGGCAGGGAAAATTCAAGGGCGGGGAGTCGAGCAATTTGCAATGCCCTTGCTCATCCAGTTTTATTGCACAATCAAGTGCTGCAGTTGCAAAGAGGGCGCCGCCACGCCCACTTCACGCATCGGGCCCACACACACCTTTGAACGTTAAATGTGCCGCACTTCACACCCATCTCCTAGAATCTAGAGCTGTTTACACTGAGCAAAAATGGTGTTCGTTTTATGAAACCCTTTATTTTAAATCAGTATAACTTTAGTGTTTAAAAATGGTGCTTATAAGAAACCTTTTCTGAAGACTGATCGTTACACTTTTAACCTAAGAAAATTCCTAATCGTTGTTATAAGAATATTTTTGTATTATTATAAAATTAGATAATTTTTTAGAATAATTTTTAGACACTAATTTTTTTTAATACCTTAAAAATTGTAACTTTTGTAAGCCCAATATCATTTTAGAAACGGAAAAGAAATGATTAAATTCCCTTTTAAATTTAAGTTAAAGTCGCTAAATCGTAAGT